GAAAAATATTTACGTAAAAAAATATACATATAATCGGAACCTTCATAATTTTTTTAATTTGGAAGTTAGGGATTTCATGGACACTCTATACATAAAAAATCTTTGAAAATTTTAAATCTTTAAAAATCTGCTCAAAGGAAATTTCAAAATCGTCGCTGACATTCTCAGCCACCAAACTTCGATCGATTAAAAGAGAGGGTAGAATTTTAATCTGACGAACAGGTGAAACAAGAAGGAATATCATCTTTTTCTACGCGCATATTCCTTCCATGTGTTTCTATTGATTGATGGTGGGTTTAGCCAGAGGCGGACAGACACGGTGTATACGTATGTGGAAATGCGCGATGAAATTCGGCACACATTGTTGGCGAGTAAAAGCCGTGACGTCGATGGAAATCCCAGTAAACCCAGAAACGCTAAATCTCCGGATAGCCGGTTGTATTTTGCCGTGACTTTAGCCGTTCATAATCATAATCATGGCTCGTGCTACGAACTCGAGCATTTGCAGCAATCGATAGGGTCTACGATCGTAACACAGTCTCATCCTTTCATCCTCTTTTCCAATCAGTATGCTCGTGTTTCATATTTTTCTGCGTTTAGTTTGCTTTTTCTTTCTTATTATTAAATTTACTTTTTTTTCTGCTTTAGGATTTCCACTATTTTAACGAGCTGCTCACAAATATAAGCAAGAAAGTACTAACATTGCAAAATATACGACTATTTTTTAATTTAATCTTTTGGATTATACTATACCAAATTGATACACTTCTATAGCAAGAGCCTGGTTCAGCATGTTAATATAATCACTCTTCAATACGTGGTAATGAAAGAAAATATAACTGTGAAGCACTAATAGGTTGGCAACTAAGTCATTGCGGATTTTGTCATTAAGTGGTATTGACAAAATCCGCAATCACTTAGTTGCCATTCCAATATCGTGTTGATACAATGGAATATAGTAAAGTATATTAAATACTTCGTTATTTTCTTACTGATCAGATTAAATCGATATATTTCTATATTAATAGTACGTTTCAACATATCAGTACAATTATTTTTTAACGCTTTCGCTACGGCCGGTTTGTCCGACATGTCACTTCCGCCGAACGAGCCGCCGCGTCAAAACAGTGCACGGTGCGCGAGAAAGATCGTCAGCGGTCACGTTTACGCTTCACTGCAAATCGAGCTGCTGCGACGGTGTTTACCGAAGATAAAAACCTTCCTCAAAACAGAGTATTTATAACTTCTTAACACGCTCACTTTTAATTACAATTTGGAAACAAAACATTACAGAATATAACAATATAATACAATTGTATGATACTAATAGCTTTTAATAATGATATTGCGTGTGGTATTTTTCGAAATACCAAATTAACCAAAAATTTCAAATCTACCACTGGTATCGCGATTCGCTACACAGTTCCCATCAATCGACTATAATCGACAACACACTTCGGTTTTTTAATCATTTTTTACACAACACATATACACTGTCCTCTTGTTATACCATTTTATTGTTACATTACCATATTATGTGGTATAACGTATGCAAATGTAATTTTCAGAATGTCACAATAATATTAAATGCTTCAAGTACGTTAAACCTACAATATGCTGAGGTAAATTATACGCATTATACTAATTTGATACGTTCCAATATAAAATAATATACTTAAACATAGAAATATAATTACACTCTGACTGTACTGGGTTAACAACTAAGTGATTGCGGATTTTGTCAATATCACCTAGTGGCAAAATCCGCAATCACTTAGTTGCCAACCCAATATATCCATACAATCTAATATACTTGATATACAATCTAATATACTGTGTAATGAACACAGAGATATATCAAATACATTCAATACGTTTTATCGCGTATTCAATGTTGTTATACTTGATACAACATGTAGCATATACCGAATATACGTAATATACTTGGCTATATTCTAGTATCCCAGTGTAGTCGAAACCACTAAAATATTTGAAATATTCGAATGCATTTCAATCCGCCATTACGTTTAATCGTATCAAATGTACTACGTTTTCATATATTACTATACTATATCTTCATTTTCATCCTATTACATGGTACTGCATCAGCACGCGGAGATACTGTAATAATTACTTTTAGGCTCCTATAACTCAAACATCGCGATCAAATAATTTCCAGAGAACAATATCGTGAATCTGTCTTGCAAATCGTTCTATTAGCCGATAGATATTAGGTTGGCAACTATGTGACCTATATTACCATCTAATAACAAAATCCGCAATCACTTAGATGCCAACCCAAATAGAAACGAACAGAACGCACAGATGAAAATGCGCAAACGTAAAATTCAAACGATTTGAAGAGTTTCAGATGGAAGACAGAGGAGAGGCGCATAGTTTCTATTCAATTACCTATGGCTGTCTGTTCGCGTGGTTATTAAAACGGATAAATCTTGTTTGTCGTTGCTTCTTCACCCGATTGCAATTTTCCGCGCCGAAACATCGAATTAAATCGCTGTCGCATGAATCCGCACGGTTGTTCGCGTGCGTTCGTCCAATAAATTAGAAACAATTGGGCGGATTAGAATTTCGGTTGGTTCACGCGACCCTGCCATGTCATCGAGCTAGTTGATCCTACGGATAAGCACAGGCAAATAATGCGCTATTACTTTCACGGCTAACCTTTCACGCTTAAACAGATTGGCCCATAAACGATAGGAAATTGTTCTCAGCTTTGCCACATGTTCCGAAGTAAAAGTATTTTCGTTGTATGCAGTGGCCGATGAAGATATTTCAACGCATAGCGCAGAAAATTGCTACGAACGTATTACGTGTACTACGCGTGACTTTTCTCATATTTTGCGGCATCGAAACACGAGTTGTAACAGTAAAATTTGAAACTAGTCTGGAAATATGTATAAAAGCTGTAACATGTTTGTTGCAAACGTACGTTAAGCGAAAAATTAGTATACAGCACGAATAGTAGTATTAGTTTAGCAACGAAGTGATTACTGATTTTGTCAATGGGTGGCATTGGCAAAATCCGCCATCACTTAGTTGCCAACCCAATATATTGAATATCCAATTGATGCTGAAGACGATCCCACTAAACATTACGCTTTATTAATTTAATGAAGGATTAATTGTTGAGTGTTTAAATATTTTGATGATCCTCGCCAAGTACGTGTTTTGTAATTGACACTGTATAGTAAATGCAAGAGCCGAGTTGCTTGGAGGATTTGTTTGTATTAAAATTTGATAGTGTCGAAACGATATGGAGACTTTGCACGACATTCAAATCGATGTATAGGGAATACCATTTTTTGAAATTTGAATTTGAATGTTACCTCTTATCGAATGCCACTGAATCGCGTTAATAAAGAAGAAATTTATTATAAAACGTGTATACCAGAATGTAGAATTTACAGAATGTAGAATTTAGAACCTCGTTAGAGTGTGTTAATTTATAATTTGAATATTCCTGTGATTTTCTCGTGTGAACTGATATTTGGGAAAATTGGCGTGAAGCTTCCTGTAAAACCTGATTTAACGCCTGAAGAAGTTTCCTATTCAACGTAATAATTTTACAATGCATAGATTATACCAAACGGATTTACAAATGAAGAAAGTACAACAGCTGAACTACAAAGTTTTTTCAATTCTAATTATTCTAAAAATTCTCACGAATGTGGAATATGATGAAGTAAAATAGTCGACGAAACATAGAAAAGAAATTCACATAGATTAACATAATAAAAAAAAAAACGTTACAAAACTTTCAAATCTAATCGAATAATATTTATGTTAAAATGGAAACATATATTATTACAATTTGAACAAATATGATTCGTGTAGCTAATTATGTTGGAAATTAATTGCCTAGGGCACACAGTGATATACGTGAAAGGGACAGTGTGGATGAATGAAAAAGCTGAAATTTGTCGAGATATAGTACATAACATATATTATAGATATAAGATATAACATATGTGAAGCTTCTATATTATTCGATATCGAGGTTTCTCTACACAGTTGTGTGTTTTGTTTGAATCCCGTATTTAGTAAATATTCTATTATTTGTTTATTCCAACCACGTGCGTCTAGTTCTGTTAGTTCTATGCTATTTGCTTTCACGCAATATTGCATGTACATTATGTACAAGAAAATAGATCAAACGTGGAGATTAAATTATAATATATGTATATAATTTAACCTCCTATATTAAATTTTAAATATATATATATAAAAGAAGTTTAAAATTGCTACTTGTAAATTAATGTAACTTGTAAATTACCAATTTGGTTAACAGATTAGCGAAAGGGAATATTGTACATGAAAATAAATTATGAAATTACGTATGAAAACAAAGCATAGAATTACATGCGAAAATAGATTATGAAATTATACATGGAAATATGCAAATGGATGGACTAAAGAAAATTTTTGCTTGCCAATTAGTTAATAGATTAATAAAACAGAATATTATACATGCACGAAGATTATAAAATTATACATGGAAATATGCAAGGGGACAGACTAAAAATAGTTTCAAATTGCTATTTAGCTAGACAAATTTACTGAATGTCCAGCTGGACAAATTGTAAAGTACAAATTAAATAAAAGAAAAAAGGAAAAGAAAAAAAATTGCTACTTGTAGATTAACATACTACCAATTGGTTAATTGGACAATGAAAGAGATGAATGTCGTAATGAAATATACAATTATACATGGAATTAGATCAGAAAATTGTACATGGAAAATTGTAAAAAAGGAATATTATAAAATAAAATTATTTATTAAGATAAAAAAAAATTATTTAAAAGAAAAGTCTACACGATTAAGAAATTTATCGAACAAATCTTCCTTTCCTAACATCCATAAAATTCCATAGATACACGAAATAAGCCTAGAACTATGGTCTACGTTGAAAATCACCGGTTTTGGCATTTGCAGCATTTACCACTGCAATTTCGAAATTCATAGAATGTAAACGACTTACTTGAAAAAGTAGGTGTCGTTGACGTATCCGAAAAAGGGAACAGTGTAGGTCAACATCCAAATATTTCCACCACCGCAATCGTAGTAGGGTTTCGACCATCTACCATCCTCGTATTTCACCGTCAGGATTTCGTCTTCCTCGCGTTCCGTATGCGTCGTTTCGTTCAGTGTATACGTGTGGAAACCTGGACAACGAAATAACAATGGATTTCAATAAACTTTACATGACAGCAAGTGTATTTTTATTTTATTAATTTAAGATTAAATGTATAGAACATAGACCATAAATAAGATACTTCAATAGTGGTGTAACTTTTCTAAATGAAACTATGCTTCTATGGCGCAGTTTGTAATTCTCTGCAAAAAGGTATCGAGGCGCTCGAGTCGATAAATGAATAGTTCGAAAGATAGTTTGCCTCTGGTCTTGTAAAACATATCGTATGAAAGACAAAGGAAACGTAAATATGAAAACATCGCGTTGTTCCCTTTTGTCTTGCATACAACACACATACATACGTCGAACAACTCTCATCCGAAACATTGTTTCGTATTTCTTATATTTATAGAAATAATCACGCGTTTACGTTTAAAACGGACATATGGCGTGTATCATGCTTATATTGGCAATCTATAATACTTAAACGGGTATTATAACAGTCGGGTTAAATTAAAAATAGTCTAGGTTACATTCATGAATACTAAACTGCGTATTTTTAATCCTTAAACCATAATACATTTTGACGGTAATCAAAAAGCTGTGAATCTGAGTCTTTTATAACTTATGCATTTTTCAGCAGGCGGTGCTTGTTAAAAGAGATCCAAAAACATTCATATAACGCTATCAAACGTTCTAAATTAAAGTTATCGTAAAACTTTTGTCGAATAACTGTTTCTAGACGACAAAAGGAAAGTTTTCTACGCGTTACGTTGAGAGAAACTCTTAACCCGATCGAAATATACAAATATTCACATTTACAGGTTAAGGGTTAACTTTATTGTCATCGTTTAGCATTAAAATTTACTACCGACGCTTACACGATATGTCTATGATAAAAATTCGCAATACTTCGATGGACCAGCTTAGGTTACATCGTTTCTAAATTAAATATATTGAAATTTATCACTTACCACTAACGAAATTTATCACCAGAACCGCACAAAGAAGTTAAATATTCTAAAACTAATTAATTCGATCGGCACTGTGAAGAAAAGAATAGAGAAATTTCTAAATCGCGAAACTTTAATACACATTACTTAATACTAACGCAGAACGATACGACCGACGTCACTCGTACCGTCCCCGATGTTTACACAAATCGAACTGATTGAAATTGTGGAACGCAGAACGCTAGAGCCGATTGAACGTTAGGTCATAATATAAGGAAAATAATACATAAACTGAGTGTATACATCATCCGTTATTCGATCCATAAGCGTTTGAATGTAACAAAACAAAACAGCTGCACAGGTGTGGAAATTCTTAGTCATCTGTAATCCAATAATATGTATAATTATATATTAATATTAATGTCGACATTAAGCCAGATTATAATTAGATTGCGGATTTTTACGCATTTATAGGAGATTAAAAATTGGAAAATATGCAGAAATATACGATATATTCAAAGTACAGTATTTATTTTAATATTCAACGGGTGAAATAAATTTCTACTTAAATTCCATTTGTTCGATTAATTTGCATAAAAATCCGCAGCCTAATAATTACGTATGATCGAACAAGGAACTTGTTTGATACATCTAACGTAAATAAATTTAATATAATTTATTGAAATGAGAAAAAGAGAATAACCTATGCTGATCTATCAAATATTAACCTCTAACAACATATCAATTTTATTGAATGTTCACGGTTTCAATGATCGTATCGTGCAATGGACAAGGGAAATTTTTACAAAAACACAGTATATTTTATATTTTGATCCGACATATTATTCAAATATATCTGCAACAAACAGAGGATTTTTCAAATGAAAAACACAAAGCAGGATTTTTTTAATGGACATATCGGATATTTTCGTATCGTTATTCGTATTTGTGTTTTGCTAAATACATTTCACTGGCACGTCTGACGATTTCGTTTCCCTTTGTTTCTGGTGTCTATTGGGAGATAATACGTTCACGATTTTCATTCGCCAACGAAGAAAATATCGAGTGAACCTGAGGAGACTGCGTGATATGAAATGAGTTATTATCGAGCATGATCAATAGCGGAAGAATTAATTAACAGCTCGAAGCAGATTTTCTCGCATCTTCTCTCGTTGGGAAACAATGGTCAGCCTGTCGATTTCGTTTTTCATTCTGTTCATGGATACTGGCTCGCGTATATAGGGAATCTTCGATAAAAAGTCACGTCCAACCTGTCCCGCGCGGTAGTTTTTGCACTGTATCTTATTAAATAATGTAACGTGCATATTACTATAATTACATATACATAAGGGAAAAGTTATGTTAACAAGAATTACAAGAATACTGATCTTTTATGGAAAATGTTATTTTATGGAAATAGAAAATATAAATTCGCATTTAATGCGAATATTTTACAAACATAAGGAGAACGATAATAATATAAATTTCTTATTTATTCCGTATTACATTATATTACGTAATTTTATAATATTTTCATTTTAATTATTCGAAACATGAAATATTAAAGGCGATAATGATACGATATAAATATTAAATGTTCATTTCAATACAAGTATTGAATTTCTGACTTTCTGTAATTAATAGTTTAATTAACAAAATGGAAATTTTCTCTGAAAATTTGTTTCAATAATTTGCATAAATAATCATATGAAAATTTACACAAATAATTCCTACATATAATCTAAATATATAAATAAAAGATCTCGAAGACTGAAATTTTGAAAATCTACGATCTACGTAAGTAACAAAATTTATCATTTGCACTTATACAAATCTGTAAAAAACTGTAACATATAAAAAGCAGGAAAGTGAATTCTCTTTTGATTTCTATAAGTGAGCACTTCTCAAACCCGGGATCCCATTTTTCATGGAACGTGGAGATTCTCCAAGAACGAAACGGTATCGACGATTTTTCCGTTTCTTACATTTGGATCATAAGATTTGAAGCGATATTCGAATCCGGTAGCCGTGCAAAATATACGAGACGCGTTAGGTGAGAAATTCAACTTCCATACATTTCTGATCGTCGATTCGACAGGCTACAGCTTCAGGCTCTTAAAAGAAATCTAGCATGAAGGGTGGAAAAGGGGTGGTGGTTCCCCTCGTATCTCGACTTCGTTCATCGACAGAAGAGGCAACAGAAGAATTTTGTTCGAGATTACGAATTCTGGATGAAGTTTAACATTTCCCCTTGGCCCACCCCACTCTTCGACTCTCCGATGAACTTCGATCACGCGAAATCGATTTTGAAATCGTAATACCTTTACTCATACTTAACTAAAATCTTCTATCCCCCAGGCTTTCCATAATATTCGAACTTTAAATGAAATGTACATTATACGATCATGAAGGGTGAAGGTTTCGCCAAGTATAGGTTAGGTTTTAGTTAAATCAGGTAAAGTTAAGGTTATGTTCGATTTACATCGAATGTGCCTCGTATAATGAAATATTATCTTTAAAGAATGGAAGAGTTTGTCAATTGATATATTTTATGGTATTATAAACTAAAAAGAAAAGCAGGAAAAAAGGAATCAATTTGTGATGCTGGTTTTACAGCATTCTTTTATCTCATATTTTCCCCGATGTAATGCTATACATTGTTAAATTGGTTAAGCGTTTGGAATCGTAGATTTAGAATGCCTTCGCGGGAAATGGGAAATTTGTATCAAAAAAGTTGCAAGCCAAGATAAAGTTTGATTTATTGCCCCTGTTTTCCATAAACTTTTTAATCTGGTGACTGTTTTATTGTTGCACGAGATAGTGTGGCCCACTGTTATATCGACTAATATTTTGTACAGCTGTCGCAAGCGAATTCTACTGACGGATCATCTTCCGATTTACTGACGTATTTAAATCTCAACGAATTTAAAAAAAGAATGAAGAATAAAGAAGAATTTTTAAAAGAGAGAACGTTAACAAATTCAGAAAAAGAAATATTTATTGAATTAAGGCTAACAGCTATGTACCCAAATTTCACATATTTAAATCTTTCAGTTTTGATGGTTAAAATGGAAATTTTTATGATTTATTAATATTTCACTTTTGTATAAATTTCTATAATTTCTTTATTCCTCATTTCTATTTCCCCCAATCTTTTTTCTTCAAAATTCAATTTTTTTTTTTTTTAATCTCGATCGCTATCATTGTCTTCCCGCGAGATGACTATTAATTCCTAAATACTTCACCTAGAGTACTTTCGATGCACGGCGATACGAAACCACTTCCCGCGCTATTACTCTAAATAACCTAACTTAACCTTGCCTAAAAGCTTCATCGCCTCCTAAAACCGAGAACTGTCTCCTCACAATATTCTCCAACCCCATACTACACTATAATTTTCACTCCTAACACCTAAAATTTCCTCTTCAAAATCAACCTAACCTCAATAACGAGCGGATAATTATAATTTACACGGCAAGGTACAGTGAGAAGAGAAAGTTTATAAAGTAGGAAGTATAAAGGTGCATACCATAATTCTACAAGATGCTTCCATATTTAATAAGATCAACGAATAAATGTAATGTACGCTACAGAAGACAATGACGGATAGAAAGAAGTTTAAAAATCGGTGCATATGAATTTTGGTTACTTTTAACTAGAATTGACATTTTTTACCATGTTGGTAACAGTCATCTATCCCGTAGTATAATCGTGTAGTAAAATTATGGTGTCTTTTGTACTGTTTACTTTATGAAATACCTTCTGTTCGCTATAGATGACTGCTACCAATATCCTACAATATTAGTATAGGACACCCGTTACAAAAATTCATACTGCCTTGATTTTAAACTTTCTTTTATACTTGTATGCACTCACCATGTATACCAAACTGCAGTTAAAGTGAAATAAGGTAGTGAAAGAAAGAAAGAGTGAGAGAGAGAGAGAGAGAGAGAGAGGGAGAAAAGAACCAGTAAAGGACCAGTAAAAGGTCCGTTGAAAAACACAAACAGAGAAGGAAATTACCGCGAAGGGTCGAGCAGATGACGGAAATAGCGTTTCGTCGAAGCCGTTGTTTCCT